TTTTTTTTTTTTTTTTTTTTTTTTTTTTTTTTTTTTTTTTTTTTTTTTTTTTTTTTTTTTTTTTTTTTTTGGTGCTTGGTGCTGAGGATTGAGCCCAGGGCCTGGTGAATGCTAGGCAGACAGTGTACCACTGAGCTGTGTGTCCCCAGACCAAGTTTCATCTTCTGAGCAGAGTCCAGTGTCTGGGCTCTCCCAGCAGCCCCGTACCCACTCCATTAGCATAACCTGGCTGCAAGACAAACCTCCCTGGGTGGCTTTTGGGAGATAACCATCTGTGCATCTCAGGAAGTTAGGGAATAGCTGGTAGTTGCCACCTGTGTAGGCGTCCTAGCTACTCCATTCACCTGCTTGTGTGTCCGATATTGAGATCACATAAACCTGCCAAGCCTGGCTTTCCTTATCTGCAAAATGTTTCAGTTATGAGGAGAAAGGAGATATGAACTTGAGTACTTATCATAGTGCTGGCTCAGGGAAAGACCCAGTGACTGTGGACATCACTGCCCTGCTTGCCAAGATAGGGTAGTGGCACTGTCGACACAGCGGCTGCCTAACTAGGCCTTAACAGGTGCCGGTGGCACGTGTGTGGCAAAGCCAGAGGACAGAGAACATGAATCATTCACCATGGAAGCCCTGCATTATTAATGTCGTTTTTCTCAGACTTCTAACGGGGCCAGGGCCGGCTCCCATATATGGAAGGCGCGACTCGGCCTCAGCTGCAAGCACYTCCCTGGGTCTCCAGTTGCCATGGAGTCCCGCAGGCGGCCGGGAGGGGAACGCCCGAGGCGGTGTCCTGGGCTCGCTGGCTGCACTGGTCCTAGGTCCGCAGCCTGGCTCCGGGTCGCGCCGGGACCGCGCTTGTCCWGAACCGCTTCTCTGGAACTGAGGAGTGGGATGGGGGTGGGGAATAAACTGGTGGGGACTGGATGCAGCATCCTCGGGAGGATAGGTTTTGTGTGGTAGGCTTCGGGCTTCGATACGTGGTGCTTTCTAAAGAGGGTCCCAGGGTCTCCGACACCAGTCCCCAGCTGCTCGCCAAGCCGGGTACCTTGCGCACGCCTTGCGTTGGGCCAAATGGGCGAGCCGCTGAGCTCCGCGCGCGTCACCATCCATCGCCTCCATCCATCGCCCCCATCGCCAACGCGGAGGCGAGCGACGGGGCTCCAAAGCGAAGAGAGAGGAGGGGGCCCGGCCTTGGAGGGGCGACTCTGGGCGGGTGGGGCGYGGAGCCCTCGGGCGGGGCCCCTCGCGGCGCCGGCCTCCCAGCCTTTCCCGGCCGCTTGGCCTCGGCGGGGCGGGGCGGGGCGCGGGGCGGGCCGGGGAGGAGCGCGGGGAGGAGCCCGGGCTGCGGCGGCCGCGTCAGAGCAGTGCTCCCGCTGCCAAGAGGCTCAGACCCGGCCCGAGCGCTGCCGGGGACGCGGACAGGAACCCGCACCGGCACGGATCAGCGCTGCGCAGGAGGCTCCTCTCGCGGGTCAGGGCTGAGCGACCATGGCGGACAAGGAGGCCGGCGGCAGCGACACGGGGCCCCGAGGTGAGCTCAGGGCGCGGGTCCTGCGGCTGCGGCTGTCAGTGTAGGGGAGGGATGAGGCACGCTCTGACCGGCGCCCCACAACCGCCTCGTGGACGATGGAAAAGTAGGTGCCCTGGACCCAACCTGCCCTCTCGGGAGGGAGAGGCCAGGGTCAGCGCCTAGGAGGGAAGAGGGCTCCGGGAACTGGAGGTGGCCCGCGGGTCACGTGCTCTGTTCCGGCCAGGGTGCGGACACTGCGACGAGGACTGCAGCCCCCGCTGGGGCACCCCTTCTGTCCCCGCCTCTGGGTGGCGCCTCCGGCAGGGCCGATTACGAGTTCGGATAAGAACCGCCCTTCGGTCCATCCCTGTGCACCGTGCTGGGGATGCCAGCGSTGGCCGGGTAAATGGCCGGCTGCTGGGTGGTCGGGTATCCCCAGAGGGTCATTTCCGTGACTCAGTGAGGCGAGGGTGGGATCCTAGGGGAGGTCGGAGATGCGGACCTGTCCCCTTACTCCACCCTGCCGCGGCGGGACCCACGCGCCTGGAGTGGGAGCAGTAGCTCCCGCCTTAGGTTATCCCATCCCCTCCCCACCCATCTCCAAGGATTCCCTGGGCTTGGAAAGGGCGAAGCGGCAGGGGCTTGACAGTCCCCTCCTCGCCAGAGGTAGGGTGGGGACAGTGCGGAGGAAGGACATTTGTATTTTGGCCCAGGTGCCAGGGCCGCTCTCTTTGGGGAGTGATTCGGGCACAGATGGAGGGAGGGAGAGCCGGAGAGAACCGGAGAATGAGGCCGGAGGAAGAGGAGGAGCAGCTCTTTGAGCCCAGGGCAGTAAATCAACCTTCGCCCGCGGTGGGAACGGGCTGGCCAGGATTCCGGTCTTCCTGTGAGTCCYAAGTGGGGAAAGTTGGGCGCCAGAGACGCCGGGCGTCCCTGACCTGCAGGGCCTTGGTGGGAGCAATCGCCCAAGAGGAGCGCGGCCCAGCGGCTTTCCCTGGAGCTCCAGGCAAGCCGTCTTGGGAGGACGAAATTAAAATGCCCGGACGTAAGGGAAATCCAGCCAGAAAAGGCTCGCCCAGCTTTGCCTGGACCCTAAAGTCGGGGAAACTGAGGCCAGCAAAAGCACCAATAGTGCAGCCACCATTGAAATTGCGCTCCCGGTTGGTTGGTGGCAGTGGCCCCCGCCCTCTGCTGCACTGGAGATGCACCTACCCCCTCCCCAGCCCATTGTTCCTGCGGATCTGGGAGGTGCCTCCCCACACGCACTGCAGTGATGGGGGAGTGCGGGTGGGGGCTGGGGGATCCTGACTTGACTCACTCCTGGGAGGGGAGGTGCAGAGCCCAGGCAGTGCCCAAACACCAAGCACCCAGAATCTGCCCCTCTCCCTCGACCTTCCTCAGCAGTCAGGCTCCGGCAAGGGTCTGACAGCTGTCTTTGTCTGAACACCCCTCAGCAGCTGGATGGGCTCATTTTTTCCTCCACCTTTTTTTTTCTTTAAATTGGAAAACAAAATTTAGGATGATCCTAAGGGGTGTCAGAATTGCTAAAGCTTGAGAGTTAGTGAGCTAGTTTCTTGTCTCTCAGGCTGAGATAAAGTGTGGGTGGTTGAATCAAACAAGGTTGGGCATAGGATTTGTCAAATCAGAATTGCAAGCACAGTTGTGCACCCACTTCTCGATACCGTTTTGTCTTATAGAATCATTCAGCACTCCTACTCTGCACACACACACACACACACACACACACACACACACAACTGGTAGACATCCCCACCCAGGACAGGGAAACACATGCAGGGTGTGCTGGGTCACCTGCCATCACTCACCGGATTCCCTTAGAGTGTTTCTTTGCTTCTAGTGAGTTCAGGTGCACGGGTTTAGGACACAGCAACTGGAAGAGCAGGCTTCCCCTAGCAGCTCACTGTGCTTCTCTAGGGTGCCATCTCTTTATCTGCAAAATGGGAGATATTAATAGTATCTCATAGGAGCAGAGTCTGTCCCCTTCCACATCTATTTCTAAGGTTTCCTCATTTCATGTTGTGTGCTGGGCAATGAACATACATTATTTTATTTTTTAAAGCCTCTTAACTCCTGTTACCAGCATTTTCTTTACTGGTGGGATATTTAAACAAAGATTTAATGACCTGTCTGAGGTCCCACATCTWGAAGTGTTGATTGGGATGCAGACTATCTGATTCCAGGGCTGGATATGGTCAGTGCTTGCCATCCTATCTGGTACATGAAGTAGTTGTGTTTCAGGTTATTTCAAKGATGCTACTGGTGCAAAAGAATGAATCCCACAGGCATCAACCTATGTTGGGACTCTTATACAGTGGGACCTCTGGTGGTGGAGGTGCTGGAAATGCTGGGGTGAGGAGCAAGTGGAGGTGCCCATGAAACAAAAATGGCAGTATGTTGGTAGTTGTTGAAGCTGGGTGCTGAGTAGAYGATGGTTCCTTACTATTTACTTTGACATGTTTGCAAATTTCCTTAATAGAATATTTAAATTAGTTAATTTTCAAACTTGGAAGGACAGCCGTTAGTCTCTGGAGTGTACACAGTGGAAGCTGAAGTGATCCTCAGTCCCATGTCTTCCTCATGTCCTGAGATGTTGGCACATGGAGTCCCAGAAGAACAAGATGAATTGATGGGGAAAGTGGCACAGAGTGGATAGCTCCTCTGGTGACGGACTTAGGGCAGGCTGGAACAGTGGACAGCCATTCATTTTCTGTGGGAATGGGGGTTGAGGAAACCAGTGGCGGGTTCCCAGGGAAGGCAGGTTCCCAGGGTCAGGGTGTGTCTTGAGGTGTTTTATTAGGCTTCACTGGTGGGTTTCTGTTTCTTACCAACTTGGCATTCAGTGAAAATAGACATTTTGGTCATTGACGTATATCAAGGATTTTGGGTATGCTAAAACCTGGGAATACTGAGTTGTCTCATTTAGCCCTGACCACACTTGTTGAATGAATGACTCTCTGGGCAGGGGAGAGGGGGGGTCTGAGGAGAGTGCTGACAGATTTAGGGATGCACAGTTGGAAAGGGGCTGGGGAAGAGTAGGGACTGGCCTCGGGCCCGGGTGGTCAAGCCAACAGCTTCTCYTAGCACATGCATGGCACATCATTGGCCCTCAGAAAATTGTGATGAGTGTCTAATTAAGTGAGCCTGTGACTAATACAAAGTATTGCTGCCAAACTACAGGTGGAAGTGGAAAGGTGTTGTCTATGGCCCCCAAAGGAACCAAGAGAAGGTCAAGGTGATGCTCTGTGTTAGGGTTCTGGGGATGTGATCCATTTCTGTGCCTGCACCTGCCTCTGTAACTATGTCCCCTATACATGCCCTTCCCATACAGAGTCTTGTGTTTCCCAGGCCCTATGATCTCCTTTGGCCCTCAGCGCATACAGTTCACCCTGTTGGGGATATCTCTCTTGGTCTATCAAACTCCTATTCATCCTTCAGATCTCAGATCAGGCAATCACTTCTCAGGAAGTCTTCCTGGATCCATGTGTCCAGGTTAACTCTACCTGTGTAGTCCCAAAGCCTTTGGTACTTATCCATTGGTGATGCCCTGGTGTTCATCATGTGCCTGTGATGTGCCCATTTTTGCATGTCTCCCATTGACTTTTCCACCAACCCTGTGAGGCTGGTATCATCATTACCCCATTTTGCCACTAGGACAATTGAGGAATTAGAGAAATTTGGTGACTTGCCCAGACAGTAAATGCTGGAGTCAGGATACAAGTCAGTCATGGACCCCAAAAGCTTGTTTCCTCTCCGTGCCTTTTCTCTTGACAAGGTGTCTTTCATTTCCATGTTCTTCGTGAGGGCACATAGTAGGTACTCAATCGATGTCTTACTGTGTTGAATGACTGTCAATCAGCAAGAGGAGAGAACACAGCAGTAGGCAATGGCATCTACATCCTGCCCCCTCCACAGTGGCACTTCTAGAAACTTGGATGCGCAGAAGTGGGCCAGGCTGGAGGGGGGAGGGGGGACTCTGAAGAGATGTGGCTTTGATTCCAACAAGGCTTTGAGTGACGACTCAATCTTGTGGGGGCGAAATGCTCTCTTGTCTTATAAATAGGCCTCTTTGGTAAGGGAGAGAGCTCTTTTATTACTGCTGTGCATAATTAGAGTGGCAGAGGAATCAGGGGCTTTTAATGAATGAGTAGCATGTGGCAGGGAGGGAGCCCCTGCCCCCTGTGGGCACATAGGCCTGGGCTGGGGCTGGATGTCCCAGGAGAGAACAGGGTAGGCCCAGGAGATACCCAGAGAGGAGGAGGCAGAGCTCAGCAAGGAAACCTGCCCACAAAGGCCAGGCCTGCAGACCCTTGCTACATTCCTGGTATTGAGGATGACTCTGTCCTGTTCTCCCAGATGTTCTGTCACACATATGGCAAGTAGAGGACCAGAGTGGCTTAGAGTGCCAAAACTCCAGCTAGACTTTCATTTTCTAGCCTGTGAATGGGGTGCACGAAACCTGYCCAGGTCTGTCCTGCCCAGCCAAGACAATAGATGAGAGGAAATGGCTTTGCCATCATCAGCCTGCCCATAGGAGGAATTGAGAGTGGCCTCCTTGCCTCTGCTTCTGTGCCCACAGGACTGCTGTTCATTTGCATGGCTTGGTGGTGGGTCAAGCTGGTCTGCTTGCTGGGAGGCTTTAGGAGAAGGGCAGGTTGTGCTCTGAGTTTTCTCAGACTCAGGCTAATCCCAATTCCTTTAGACCTACAGTATTTCACTCTCTRAAGCAAGCCCCTTGGAAGTGGTTTAGGTATCCCCGGGCATGCCTCCCACACCTGCAGATCCCACAGTGGGGCAGAGGGTGGTGGATTGATGGCAACTGAACGGCCACTTAGGGGGCTGGGGGCATGCATGTTGGAGCTGCTCTCTTTGGCCAGAGGATGTCCCTTGCTGGGGTCAGTTACCTGAGTGGGGCTCCTTTTGGGATCACCTGGAGAACTTCTACAAAGTCCTGATGCCCTGACTGTGATCCAGTGGACAGTCAATTTTACCAGTTAGGGAGT